CAGTATAGAAATTAAATTTGACGGGGCTTAGACACAAGGAACAGAGTGGACTGTGAAGGACTCTTGCTACAGATACATGATCCTCCTCATTTATTGTTTTGTGGTAAAACATTTAAAGGTGCACTATGCGATCCTGCATGACGTCCACTTCTGTTGTTCGTTCAAAGTAAATACCAGAACAAAACTAGAGGCAAGCCTCGCCCTCCCCCCCACATGTCTTCGGCGTAACTGTCATGAACGCCGCATGGAAAAAAAATCCGTTTTGGTCGTGATTAACGAATTAAATTAATAATCTGTTCGTCTCTGACTCTCAAATTAATGCCGCTGCTACGCAACGGCTTCCGTCACTGTACCGGTCAGCTTACAGCTACGGCACAGCATGCTACGGGAGCCGTATCCGTGGCAGCGTAAGGGAGAGAAGAAAGATTAAAGGTCCAAAAAGCTAGGAACTACAAACTCATTCTATTGAAGTGCTTATAAGTTTTCCTTGTTTCGCCTCTCATGACACTGTCGAGCTGCAAGTCGTGGAAGCAGTGTACGCTACTCGCAATCAACTCTGCTCTCTGCCGTCCCCATCTATGTGCACGCGCACTAAACTCCCACTCCCGCGCCCGCGCTCTCCAAGCCAATCCTGTTGGTGATTGGCTGGACACTGGTTGTGTTGTATTTATGGTGCACAGCCTGCGCCCGTAGTGTTTGTTTGACGTTTAACGAGCCCTGGTGTTGGTGCTTCCGAGACCGTGTTGTTTCATATGTATTCAGGGAGGGCAGCTAGTGGATCAAGGAGAGATGCCTATGATTTGAGAAAGAAATTAAATCGCGCTGAAACCATGCAAGATCGCATAGTGCACCTTTAAGAGCCAGCACAGACTCTTCGCTGGTGCTAGTGATTTGAAATCCAACTGGTAACCAGCTCCTTTGCTGGAACCTGAGAAGAGGCAAACATGGATGCCATGACTTGATTTAAATTTGACCATTTACTGCTGTTTAGCAGGTGACTCTCAATTCTAAAATGTCAGAATGTCCTTGACTCACCAACCAGGAGAGTTTTTGAAAATAGTTCCTGCTGGCTTAAATGAAGTTTCATTAATGTAGACAATGATAGATCATGTATCCGCACAAAGTGTCAAGAAGCCTGATAACGAGACTAAACTGTCATTTCATTACCTCTTCATCATTTAATTCGACACTCGACATTCGTGTTCATGTCGGCCATTTTCTGTGCTGTTTGGCCTAACCAAGTGGTAGTAACTGATGTGACTGTCTCCAAAACGGTTGATAGTGTTGTTTTGTTCTTTTACTGTACCCCGTGCGAAAATCATCGAAATGTACGTGGTGATTCTTAGATTGCTATTTTTCTGGCTCTGATGTCCCAGTTTTTTAAAGGCATTTCAAAAAGTCTGGAACCAGGCTTTCAAGTCTTTGCAAGTAGGTTTTCATATAAATTAACTGAATCGTTCTAAGAATTGATGGATGATTTGGAAAAAAATAAGTTAAAAAATCTGATTTATCTTTAATGAGCAAAAAGGTGCAAAACCTCCAGTATGATCATTTAACTATAATCACATCCTGTTTTGTGTATATCTTTCCCCTTTTGATGCTTAAAGAAGAATTCTTGTGTCAAAAGGCCATTTAATTTAGCATTTACTGTTAAAATCGGATTTTCTTCCTTTAAATCAAATTTCAGTCTCGCCCTTCAGCGTCAGATCGTCCGTCTGTCTGCAGCTCTGCTCTGCTTTCTGAAGGGGCAAAAGAAGTGCGAGTCAGAGCAGAATGAAAGCACTCTGCTCCAACTGGATGTATCTCCCAGAACACGCTGATGAGTTTGATCCCCACACCATCCGCCTGCTTGCGTTCGTTCACCTTTCATCCCCGTGCTCGTTCTGCAGAGACGTTACCTTTCCATCCCCTCCGTCCCCAGGACTTCTCCCCACAGCTGCAACGACCCAGCGAGCGTGAGCTTGAATCATAATATTTGAAACGGCGTTATAATGAATTCCCAGCCTCATTCCTCCGTGCCCTAGCCCGCACATACAAACCACCTCTGAATATCAATTCACCTTCTTTGCCTCTGCTCTCTCTGTCTCCCTCAGGGTTTTTCCTTTCATCACGGAAAGATAAAGGTCTGAAAATTACAATATGGTGACTGGGGTGACACAGTCAAATATGGAGCATACTGATGGCCTGTTTTTTTCCTCCCCAGCTGATTAATGAATCATTTGTCATTTTAAGTTCCTGCCTTTTTGCACACTCCAAAAAATATCCATCCTCACAAGTGATTTAGTTACATACTTGGCCTCCATATAAATTATTTCCCTAAAATGAGGGAGGTAATTCAAATTACTTCCAATTACATCTCTCTTAATTCAGAAAATTGTGAAAAATGAGAGTTGATTTAAAAAAAGATCTTAACCAGGTTAGCAAGTCACTTAAATTGTCTGAAAATACAATTTTATGACTCAAGAACAGACCAACTTGTTCAGTGTACACCTTGCTCACTCTGCTTTCCTGCAACATTTCGCAAATTTAATTTCTCTCAGCAAACGCTTTCACAAAGAGTAACAAAAAACCCCAACCTCCCTTAACAAACCATTAATTCTCACACTGATGGACCAAATCAGGTTCTTCTTTTCAGCTGTCAATAAAACTCTAGTTGTTTTAAAGAACTGATGGGTGGATGCGCTGTCGTCCTGACTGGACCTCATGTTACAGAGATCAGCCTAAGACCAAAAGGCTTCAATTTCCATTCCCTCAGTGCCAATGGTTTCCCCATTCAACTTTTCAAAGTAAGTCGAACTAAAAATGGCACTAAAGTTTCTCCCCATTCCAATTCATAATTGAATTTTGAACGAAATTAAGCCTTTTTTAAAGTAGTTCTCTGCGGAAATGTGTTACAAAAAAACGATAAAAAAAAAAAACCACACTTCTGACAGGACAGCAAATGTAAAAATATACTTTGTGGAATATGCATTATTTGTGTTTCTGTTACTTTTTCTTTAAACTTTTGTATAAAAACGGAACACCCTGAAGTAAACTCAAAGTGAAGCTGGCGGTTTTGCAATTTTCCCATGTGGGCGATCAAGGTCAACAGAGGTACATATGTGTGTTTCTCATGAACAATAAACATGGACTTATCAAAAGCAAGCCCAAATACAACACAGTCACCCTTCAGTCAAACACATACTGAAACTGTGGTGTGACAAAAATAATAAGTGAAAATTTTAACAACGATAGAGATCTTATTCCTTATCATCGGCTGCCCTGCTACCATCTCTAATCTTAATAATAATAATAATTTGATCCTGTTGCTTCTTCAAAATTGATTATTCTGTCACAGTAACACCAAATTTCCATTTGTTCCTACTTGTGGCTGTTATATTTTATGTAGGCAAAATCCAGACTTGTTTGCCAATTATCAGACTTCAGTCTTCATGATCTTGCTACATCAAGATAACAGTATATTTGTTTTCTCAAGAAAACAAGATGATGTTTTTGTGATCTTGTAATTGATAGTATTCCATTATAGCTCCTAATAATTTCTTGCTTCAGTGACTGTGCCTCTAAAATGTAACTGTCTTCTGTGAACAGAAAAGCTAACAACACAGTCTTCACTTAACTTTTCTCCATTTTGCAGACTGTGACCATTCTTTAGTACAGGGAGAACCTTGATGCACTGAATGTGACATATATAGTGCAATGTGACAGATTGCGAACAAGGAGTTAAGACCAAATTTCAACACATTTCTTGAAAGGACCAAAAATTGGTTTTGGGTGGTAGGTGGACCAACCAAAACCAACTTAATTTGTCCAGGATGGGATGGTTTCTACCATAACTATCAAATTCAGATTTCTCTAACATTTTTTCCATACAGATCATCTTACTGCTTTTCACTGATTTCCAGTCCATGTTTGGAACTGAGCCAGACTTGAATATGGAGCAAAAATATAGGTCACAATAAGCTTTCCAAGATGAGTGTTTGGCAACGACACGAGTCCTTGTAGGATTTGTCTGGGTTAGGGAGAGTAAAGGCTTGGTCAAGAGCAGCAACAGACTGTATGAGTCTATAGACGTTTCTATACAGTCTTGTAAGAATAGAGTCAGCTGGATCCAGATGATTCAGACTGGTCTAGTAGGTTCTCACACTCATTTTTTTTTAAACCTCAAGATCCAGAGGTGGAGGGGCTGCATGGGTTATGGGTGATAGTTGGTTCAGTATAATCTTACTGTTTTGTTCAAGAGGAAAAAAAGAGAGACAGAGGAGAAAGGCAAAAGAAGAAATGGTGGAGAGAATCACGTCGTGTCACCACAACAAAAAACCTCGGCTCCAAGTGAGAAAAATAAAGTTTTGGTGAAACTTTGGTGGCTGAGGATTTGTTTTCTCTTAATGTTCTGGTGGCAAAATCCAAACCATATACACATCCCGTGACTGCACAAAGTTGGAATACCTAAACAAAAAACAAAAAACAAAAGACAAAAGAAATACTTCCAACAGCGATCATGAAACATAAGTGAGGTACAGTCACAGTAACTGAGTTGTGGATAACTCAGCGGAGGATGCTAATAAATACCACAAAGAAGAGAAACAGGAGGGATCTTATAACTTTTTTTGTGATGATCCCATCATCCTGTGTCAATAAGTCAAGGCGCTAGGCATTGGGTTTTTCTAGTTTTGTGTTTGAGGTTGAAGAGTCTAGAGGGGTTTCAGTTTGAACTCCTAAAGAAGCCCCTCCACCCTTGTCCTGTTCTTGGAGTTGATGCTGTGCTGCTGTAGTGTTTATCCACTATTTAATTCCCTTCTATCCAATCCCGGCCCACCACAGTGGACAATGGCTGAGACCAGTAAAAACCAAACAAACTCAACCCAGCACAGATGGAGGTCTGATTCCGCAGAGGCGTCTTCAAACCCAGATTGACCTGTTGGCGCCCATAGTGAATGGACAGCAGGTGACATCAAGGCTTGAAGAAGGGTTCCAGAATGGACCATGGCTGAGGGCTGGGATGGGCCGAAATAAGAGGTTAGAAGGCGGAGCCGGTAATGGCGTTGAGCTGCTTCATCAGCCCTTCTAGACTGGCCATCTGCTCTGAAAGGTCATCCTGCTCATAAACCTGAAAGACAAAAAAGTAGAGCCAGTTACATAACCATTGGTCTCGCATTACCTGATGATCAGAGATCTCAGCACCTACCAATCATCTGGTGATTATTTCTAAACGCAAAGTAGTTGCTTGTGCGGTGGTGAAAATGGCCTCAAACAAACATATGCCCCTTACTTCAAGGACACGGCTTACTGCAAATAATGCTAACTCCTCCGCAGTGAAACAACAACGGGAGACATGGAGAATCACTTTGTAACATGGAGAGAGCTTTTTAAGAAATTGGATGTCCCAAGCTAAGTTTTATATAAGACATTGTTGCTGGGAGAAAGTCCTCAGCCTCTATTAGCGAGGCGTTTTATAAAAATCTGCCTGAATATCTCTGTTTTGAAGATTACTGCTTGACACTATCTTTAATTTTAGAGCTATAAAATCTTATGTTGAAACCATTTGCTACAGACGATGTTCCATTCAACAGCAACAAAATGGTAAGAGGTTTAATGCTGTTGAGTTCAAAGACCAAACTGGAATTAACACATAAAGCCTGCAGTTCAGTGACTATATTTCATTTTATTTTACCATTCCTTTTAATCCACTGACAGAAATTCCACAAATCCAAATTTACACCTAGACCAACCCTTATCGATCAAGGAGTTAACATTTGGTTGATGAGCTCTGTAACAAAGCCGATATTTACTGTAGCTGCTTTACAATAAAAGCCTTGCAGCAATTTGCCAGAAGAAAACTTTTAACGTAGCACAGCAACAGACTTAATTCCTGCTTGACAGCATGACAGAGTACAGCAGATCAGAAACAACAGACTAACAAACTGCTGTCTGTTAGATGAAGGTCAGAACTGAACTGTTGGCATGAAATTAAAGAAGGCTGATCATAATAAGCATTTGAAAGAAGTTCTGCTCCTCTATCCAGTAATTATGGTGATTTGCAGGTCTATATTAAACCCAGGCTAAATTTGGTTGAAAACAAGCTATTTTAGATATAGTCAAGGTTACATATGACCATTATTTCAGCAAAATCTACTGGACTAACTACAGTCCAGTAGACATGAAGGTGTCTTTTTGCCCAATCACCAAATCAGTGCTTACTGTCACCCAATTTACTGAGGTGACTCAGTTCCTGCCATGGTTGATATCACAGGTCATCACAGTTGGGCCTGCTGTTAGGGCTTGGTGGATATGTGCATCAACATACCCTGACACAGCTTGACACTTGCTGCACCAAACCAGCGAAGAAAGGGCATGAATCATAGTTTTCGCTGCTGTCAACTGCTTACCCCGGTCATACATATCAGTTTTTGGTAACACTTTACAACACGATGCACAAAACTGTGAGAAGTTACAAAAGAATGAAAAAGGAACAAATCACGAACAACCCAATAATTGTTAATGATTAATTACTGAATAAAAGACAAGACTGGGAGATACTATATTAATTAAATATTAGCTAATGATAGCTTCATAAATATCTGTAATTTAGAATAGCGACCACATTCTTCATTAGTCATTCCTGATATCACTCTGAAGCTGCCACTAAGGCCCCTTTACCACCAAATTAGTTCTTGAACCGGTTTAGTTCCATTTTAATCAGATGGCTCATCAACAGAGGGCAATGCACAAAGACCTGTAGAATATGACACGCCCACTTTAGTTCACAAGGAAAACCCTTTCTTCTTTAACCTTTTCAGGTTCCGAATCAATGTATTATTGGTTGAAATCCTCTTCAAAACTGGGTGCTGGAACCAGAATGGAGCCGGTTCCCTGTTGGTGGAAAAGGCCTTTGAGGAGCACAAACTAGTAAAGACATATTCATTACTAATTACTTAATCATTAGTTACTCTTTCTATGCACCCCAAGTAAAGTGATACATCATACTGAGCAGTTACCAAGTACCCTAGTCCCTAATTACTTCATGATTGTCTGACCATTACTTACTCTCAAATACCTTCAGATACCTAATCCATCACAATGAACATCATGTCTGTTTTTATTTCTGTCAGGAGTTCAGTCATTGTTGCTTGGCACTGCAGACTTTTTCAATCTGCACCTATAACTGAATAAAATAAAAGGTGACTTTATGTTGACTGTGATGGATTATCTGTCAAGAGCAAGTTTCAAGTCTGTGCAAGCTGATTGAACTGAAACCAATGGCTGCCTGAAGGGAGCAAGGAAAACAAAATAAAAACAGTCAACAGGAACGCAAAGTTCAGTATTTATATTGATGGGCTGAATCTAATGTAAACCCACTGATAATATCCATGTTCACATACTATGTCACATCAGGTTAGATTACAGTTTGCCTCCAAGTCGACCACATCAAACGCATTGAAGTTGATGCTGTCACTTGTGTGCATGTGTTTCAAGGATAGGACACATTCGCAGTGTGAACGGCGGCACTTTAATCCTGAACAGACTCTGTGATCACTGTGAAATGGCGTGTTCGGTCCGGCTATACAAACTGTCGCCTCTGAGTGGGCCGGCTTAAGTGCATTCATCTGTGTGTGTGTGTGTTTATGTGTGTGTGACAGTCAAGTGCACATCCCTCACATACACACTCTCCCAGTGTGTTATATTGAGTGTGGCCTTCATGCAGAGTTTGTCTTTGCAGTTGGAAAAAAATATTCAATATTCTCCACAACATGCTGTGGAAAACTGATAAAGGCTCAGCAGAAATATTCTGTACACTTCAGTTGAAAGGTTTGTGTTAATGCACAAAATCGTCATGTACTTGTACTGCATTAGCACTGTATACAGTCGGTGTACAAGTCCTTCAGTATAATGCACTGATCCTGCATAAATATCACCACAGCTTCCTGTGAAAAAGTCACTTACTAAAGCTCTGGTACTAAGTGCAGGTACTGTAAACTGCCAAAGGAACCCTACAGATATACAGACAATTTAGCACAGACTAGAAAATCTAGGTATTTCATGCATTTAATCATCTGTGTGTGAAAATCAAACAGCCTGACAACAATTTAATCAAAATTAAAGTTGAATAACCCATTACAGCTATCTCTAACTCTACTGATATCAGCAATAACAAGTAATTTCATTATTTATTAATCTGTTGATTATTTTCTTGATTAAATAGATAATGTTTTGTCCAACCAAACCGACAATACCTAAAAATCAGTACTATCACAGTAGGGAGGGAGATAAGCAGGTTGTCACATTTTAGAAGCAATTTGCTTGAATTAACAGCGTTACTATTTGAAAAATGAAGATGTATTTTGTAAAACCTAATTTTGAAATGTTATTTGTAACAAATGCTGAAATGCATAGCATGCGTTAGTGGGAGTCTTTACCGCCACTGCTGTCAACAATGGATTCCTTCAGTGTTCATTGTCTACGAGGTTTCTACCGGTAGCCAAATTATCTGCATTATCTGAGGTCTCGTCTCTAAAAAACACAACCGCTAATTAAAGCCGGTAAAAACACTGAATAAAGCAGTTCCACCCTGAAATCAATGTTTTTCAACAAACAATCTGTGTGGACTATAAACATGATATGATGAAAACAGTTAACTGGCCCACTCTTTCCAACCACATTTTTTACATTTTATTATATTCTTCAGGGTGTTAAGCTTCTCACGGCATTATATTATTTTGAAATGAGGCATACGTACTCTAGATCTCCCTCTAGATCTCCCTCTAGACAGGCCTGGACCTGCTGATCCTGATTTGAAAATCAGTTATCAGTCTGGTCCAGATAAAGCTTTTAACCTCCTGACCAGACAGAGTCCTGTTGGATCAGCTTTCGACCATTTCCTACCTCGGGACAACTCCACCTCCAGTCATTTATAGATTTTTATATTGCCTCCATTAAAACATTAGTTGGGCGCATCACAGCACGAAACCGTAACGGTTAACAAACATCCTGAATCCACCAGCAGCAGCTAGTTTACCAGCTAAAAACTACCAGAGAGTAAGGTCATTGTTTCAGTCAAAACATATTAAATTAATGATACATTAAAAGTGTTAAGGCAGCATAAAATGAATTTCAGATACGTTGTGTGTTTTTATCTGAGTGATTTCTTTTATACCAATTTTCTTTCTTTTATTCATTTATTAGGTCCTATGAATACCCATTTTTCACTTTTTGTCTTTTATAAGCTTTAATAGGGATGGTAGTAATGGGTCGTTCATCACTTTGGTTCAAACTAAGCTATTTGAAGAACTATATATATAGCCCACTAACACTGGGTGTGCTCCAGATCTACCATGCCAAATGTGGTGCAAATCCCACAAGAAGTGGACAATCTTAATCTCTTAGTAGCTCATCAATACATTGTTCCATTCCTGCTACAATCTTTTGTCTATTTTGTCCTTTTTTTGGTAATGCCAGTGTCATTTAATCCAAGATAGTACAGTTTATCGGCTGTCTGGTGTCTTTAAAAAAAAGTAAGATTCAAATTTATTAATTACACATTTTTTGATAATCAACAATCAAATAAAGTTTTGAAGTCTTTGAAAATGTCTTTTCCTTACAATGTCTGTGTATTAAGTTTAAAACTCTCCAGTGTAGCTTTTCCACAGGTGAAATAAATCTTCAGATATGAATGACTGTGGAGATTCATGGGAAGAAACATAACAGCCCCACCTGTGCAGTTATCCTTTATCTGAGTAATACACACAACAGTACAACAATTTGACCTTCCACTCTCGCTCTGAATGAGACCATAAAAGCTCATCTAGAAGCCTTACACTGCCAGGTATTTTCCACTTTCCACGGACAAAAAGGCTTCTACAAAAATCATAACTGTATAAAACCCCCACAAACCCCCAGCGACCTCCTGATCTCGTTCGTTGACCCATAACAGCCAAGTTTGACAGAGTCAGTAAATGCCTCATCAATGGGATAAAACCCCCGTTGATGCTCTGTGTTCCTCTCTGATATCCTGTTATCTCTGACGGCCTGCTGACCTGGATTCACGCTCATCTATAATCCGTCAGATTCATCCCAACACAGCGAAGCCAGAGGAGCACATGGAAACTCTGT